GAATTGAAGGTCTAGTTGAATGCTACCAGACAGACCCTGCTCTCTCTCTCCTGCTAGGGTCTCCATGAAACAGACATAATTTATCCAGTGGTTACATCTTAGGTTATACAATCAAATAGTAGCCTTCACCAGCAATTAACTAGAGATGATGCTGTGCACTAGCCTGCTTGATAAATTGTTACCATTTAGTAGAAGGGTTTGATGGTTTAGGTGTTGCTAAACTAAGTGCCTTGTGGGGAGAAACTGTTTCCTTTGTGATCTTATGCCAGCTGCACAATTGATTTCCGGTTGCTGTTAGATAAAATGATGGTGAGTCTGGGCACGGTGGCACATGCCTGTAATCCTAGCACTCTGGAAAACTGAGGCAAGAGGATTGTCGATTCAAGCCCAGCCTGGATGAGTAAAGTGATTTAGCGAGACCTTGTCTCAAAAAAAAAAAAAAGAAGAAGAAGAAATTGCGTGCCGGTCGCTTATGACCAGTGGCCATAGATCACTCACTATATTCACGGAATGATCTCACTGTAACCTGGGCCTTGGAAGAGAGGCCAAGGTGGTGACCGCAGCTTGTCTCTTTCGCACCTGGTGGTAGTCACGGCACCTGGCTCTGAGTCGTCACTGCCCCTCTCTGATTTTCCGCATGTTCCCCCACATCCTTGCCCTGATCTTTGGAACTTCAGTGACGTGGACCGGGCCTGCTCATTGTCTCCGTACCCCAGGAGCGTGGTCGCCCGGGGCAGGCGTCTCGATCAGTGCTTACGTTACCCTGGCTTCTCCCTTCCTGCTGCTCCTTTACATTTCAGCTCGGCCACTTCAGGTGGTGGGATTTGCTGGCCAGCTTTGTCTTGAGTTCCTGCTGAAGGCCTGGATGTCTGTACCTCCTCGATGCATTGTATCCTGTAATTCCCTAGCTTTTGGATTTATGTGATACTTCTGGGTCTGAAGATAGCTAAGCTCATTTTTTTTTTTTTTTTGCATTTTCAGCCCTGATGTTTCAGCAGCTAAAATTAGCTTGGCACAGATGGTCAGAAGTGCCTGCTATATTCTCTAGGTCACAGTCTCTTCTGCTTCACAAAGAAGTCAGAAGAGGGCCAGGGATTTAGCTCAGTGGTGCCGCTGCTTGCCGAAGTCAGAAGCACTGCTGAACTCATCGAAAATGAGAGATCCATTGCATCAGAAGAAATTCCATCAGGGGATGGGAAGATGCCTTGCCCAGAGTGGGCTTTGAGCTTCAGATCCTTGCTGGGTATTTTTCCTGTTCAGTCTGGAGTGCCCTCCACTGTCCTCAATGTGCATTCTAGTCTAGGTGGACTTTCATCAGTTTGCAAGGAGGGGACTCGCCCGTGTTCTTAGCCAGATGTGAAATGGGATTAAAAGTAGATTGAGTTTAGCCAGGCATGGTGGTGCACACAAGTAATCTCAATGTGGTAGGAGGCTGAGGCAGGAGAATTGCAAGTTTGAGCCTAGTCCAGGCAAATTACTAAGATCTGTCTCAAAAAGGTTGGGGATGGTCCTGGGGATGTAGCTCAGTGTGGAGCCCCTGCATTCAATCCCCAGTGCCACAACAAAAACCAAAGCCCTGAGACAGACAAGCCCACTGCCAAGGGTAGACTTCAGCTTTCAAACCTTTGTCCTTTCCAGTGTGCTTTACCCAGAGCAGAATGCTTCAGGAAGATGGAAATAAAAACAAACTCTTCTCATCAGCCACACACAGATGTGGCTGCTTTAGATTATCGGGAGCTACTCTCTTCTGAGGAGCTCTCAGGATGACGTCTCCCCTCACTTTGAAAGTATCTCCTCAGTCCCTTCCCCTCATGCATCCTGAAATGCAGTAGAGCTCATCTCAGTCCTGCTCTTCTGGTTTCTCCTTCCTGCTGTGGCCCCATGTCTGCCATTTCTGCTCTGCTGGGTTCACTGCAAATCTAGAAATCCTTACCTTCTAGCCTTATCTTTTACGTGTGTCAAACCGCTGCTTAAAGTAAAAATTACTGTTGCTCCTGCCTCCCCACTGGGGATTGAACCCAGGGCCTTGGGTAAGCAAATGCTCTGGCACTGAGCAATAGATACAGCCCTTCTGTGCTTGCTTGCTTATTTATGTATTTATTTTGGTGGTACTGGGGATTGAATTCGGGACCTTGTGCTTGTGAGGCAGGCAGGGTGCCACTGAGCTACATCCCTGGCCCTGCTTCTATTCTTGATGTATAAATATATAAAAATTGTAAACAAATTTTCTGCAAAGTTTTGTCCAATTTCTTGGGTCCCTATAGTGAAATAGCTCTGTGGCCATTGGAAATCCTTTTGGCCAGTGATTATAAATTGCTGCTCTGTTCTGGTTTACATAGCAGTTTGGTTTTTTTTTTTTTCTTTCTTATCAGGAATCAAACTCAGGACCTTGCGCTTACAAGGCAGGCAGTGGAACCCTTGAGCTAAATCCCCAGCGACATAGCATTTCTTAAAAAATGTGAAAATAGTGTCATTTTTAAAAAGATCATTGGAAAGGTAGATTTCCAAATTTCCCTGAAAAACCCTAAGGATTGGCCCGCTGGTCTTTTCCTTCCTTGTGGTAGCTTAGCTGTCTGCTGGCATTGAGTAGCATTGGGTCCACAGTCATTTCCGGGCCGCCTCCACCGACTTCTCCGTTTGACCCAGTGGATATGTTTTTGGGTGACATTTTTGCTGCACTTTTTCATGTTCTGATTTATTCTTCCTTCACCTATTTCACGGGAGAGATTAGAACCATAGTAGGGCTGGGGGTGTGACTCAGTGCTGGGGCGTTTGCTGAGCACGGGTGGGGTCTTGCATTCATTCCCAAGTGAGGCGTTTCGTCTGATTGAGGTCATCCCATTTCCTGTGTTTTCTGTAGTGGCCCTTGATATACACACATGGGGACAGTTGTCCTAATGTTAAAAATAAAAGCACCTATCAACTCCGTTCCTTTCCATCTGCTCTCCCAGCTCTCATTTACCTGTCCAAGATGTACTATATATTTATTCATTGCCTCTCTTACTTAGCATCTACTGGCTACTTAATCCCCTATCTGGCCTGGACTTTCATTTTCTAAACTTTGGTGGCATTTTCTTAATATTTATTGTTGGTATCATTTGGCACCATTATCTATGCTATCATAAAATTGTTTTTTAGTTTAGATGAGACTAAATCTTGGCTTTCTGTTTTTTTTGTTGTTGTTGTTGTTGTTGTTTGTTTTTGGAGACAGTCTCACTATATAGTTCATGTTGGCCTCAAACTCACAGCGATCCTCCTGCCTCTGCCTCCCAAGTGCTGGGGTTATGGGCGTGCACTACCTTGCCCAGCTTCTGATTTTTGACTTCTCTCTGAGCCTTTTCCTGTCACCCATCTAGATATTACCCAGGGTTTGATTCTTGGCCTTTCTCCTTTCATATCTCATCCTGGCCATCACTTAGCACACCATGCCTGTGTTACACAGCTGAGTTAAGTGGAAATATTATAGGCAGTCAGGGCGAGGTCCTCGAGAGGGTCAGGACAAAGGTGAAGCACACCACAGCTGCAGCTAGGCTAGAGATACTTCTGCTGGAGGCCAGGCCTCAAGATAAAGACAGGATGGCCGGGCGTGGTGGTGCATGCCTGTAATCCCAGCACTTGGGAGGCTGACGCAGGAGGATCGCTGTGAGTTCGAGACCAGCCTGGGCTACATGGTGAGTTCCAGGTCAGTCTCAACTACATAGTGAGACCCTGTCTCAAAAAAACAAAACAAAACAAAACAAAAAAACAAAGATAAAGACAGGATGACCAAACCTGCATACTTCCTCAGAGGACAAACATTGGGCCTAAGGAAGTCTAGAGAGACATCAGCCACCCTGGTGGGTGACCGGAGACCTCTGGACCCGTCACTTCCTAGGAGAATCTTTATTCTTTCATCCACGCTTGTTACGTGGCTTGTTTCCCAACTGGACCTCTACTACCTACGTGACTGCACTTGTAGCCTTATCGATCGTGGTTCTGGCTCAAGTTGTACCACGTGGATTTTACTCCATAAAACTGCCCTGTAGAGAGGGGTCCTCAGTACCCATTTGCGTCCCCTTCTGCCCTCAGGAACTATCCTATCAATAGATATCTTCTTACTCTTAACCTCTGTTCCTAGAATTCTTTGATTTTTGGAGAACTTGAGCTTAGCGCATCAGACGGCTAATGGGCTGGGCAATGTGATATTTCCCACTTCATCTCCGGTATGTCCTGTATCTCCTGGGCTCCAGCGCAGCAGCATCTGAGCTCTGGGAGAAGTTCTGCCATGTCCTTTGACTTAAACCCTCCCAAACTGACTCTTGTTACCTCATTCCTCAAGACTACACCATCTGGTTCTTGTTTTGTGTTTTGTACCGGGGATTGAACTCAGGACCTTGCGCTTGCAAGGCAGGTGGGCACCACTGTGCTAAATCCCTGCCAGCTTCTCCCTGTATCCTCTCAGGGTCTTCTCTCTGTATGTAGGTGTCTGTTCCTTTTCTTACAAGGACACCATGTCTGTTAGGTTAGGGTTGCATCTTAGGGCCTCACTTAACCTTAATTACCACTCTGCAGTTCCTGTCTCTGAATACAGTCACATTAGAGATTAAGGGCTCTCAGGGATGAGTTTATGGGCAGAATTCAGTTCACACTAGCAAGGGAGCCCAGGGCTGGAAGGTAGGAAAATTACCAGTTGGTTAGGAGGCAAAAAAAAAAAAAAAAAATTGAGCTAAGGTAATAAATTCAGGGAAAGTTGTAAAATTTTCCCACGAGAAGCAGACAGGGGTAAGTAGGTGCCTGCAGGTCTAAAATATTTTTGCAACCCTGGGTCTGAGAGCAGCCAAAAAGCACAGCTGTGTTCAATTCAGAAAACTCCCTGTGTCTTTGCCACCCCACGCGGCAGAGTGTCCTTTCTTGTGGCAGGGAAGCCACAAGGACAAAGTAACAGTAACAGGGGAGAGAAACAGACCCTGCGGGGCTCTGCTGCTGACCAGATGCTGTGCCCTGTCACTCCTCCTGTGCAGCGGCCCTGGTCTGTGCAGCTGGGACATCTGTGTTGTCGCACCTGTTCCATCAGGTGCCATCCTGGTGTGGAGAAATCTGAAGGAGCGGGACTGAAAGGTGAGTACAATCTGTCACTTAGTTCTCTCCGCAGTTCCTCTGCCTGTGTCACCTTTCTGTTTTCACAGCTCCTAGGCTGGGTCAGAGCCCTGGTTATGGGTGAGGATCATCACATAGCCTCTTAACCGGTCCTCGGCCCAGTACATCTTTGTTTTGGGCCATCCCACCACAACTGTCATTCCTGTGCTTCAAAGCTGGGACACCAAACTAAGGCCAGATCCCTCGGGCTGGCAGTGAAGCCTTTTCTAGTCTGTTTGTCACCCACAAGTTCCCTTTGTTGGCTGTCCTTCGTCCACGTTGGAATTTTAGCTCTTCCTTGACTGGGCTCAGGATTTCTCTGTGTCCCTTGGGCCACACCATTCACTGTGTCTAAAATAGTCTCTTCCTACTTCCCTTCTGTTGAAATCCTACTCATCTATTGTTAGGGCCTAAGTCAAGTCCGACTTAATTTAGCGAACTTTTCCCTTAATTTCCCCATGCTATAGTTTATAACATTTGTACTCTGGCCATAGTGGTAATTTTGTTCCAAACCTCTTTCTTAATCTTGAGAACGGGGTTGGTGTTTCACTTCATCCGATCCACATTGTGCACATGAATGTGGGGCCAACTTCTGTGGCAATAAACAAGGTCAGTCATGTGTCTTGACGTTTGCTGGAAAATTGAAGGTACCGTGTTCCTGAGCCTAAACAGGCTTCACCTGCTCTAGCGTGCTAAGGAACAAGGTAACCGTTGGGGGAGGAAGAATTGGGAGGGAGCAAGACGCTGCAGTAGAGCTGGCAATCGCCCTTGTTACTTGGGCTTCCCGGGGTCATTGGTAGAATCACAGGGTGACTGGTGGGGCCTTGGACTTGAGTGGAGCCGAGAATTTCATGCAAGGGTGATGCAGGAAGAGGAATGGCATCAGGGTTTAAGGCCTCCTCCAGACTCATTTTGGTCTGCTTGATTGTATGTACACTTGGGTTGTCTCAGAGCTAGAACTTGGGGAGGAGCGCACAAGGCACAGACCTGCGTTGGCCGAGGTATTTGCTCTGGGCAGGGCTGGAGCCTGAGGATGGCATCAGGCAAGGGTCTCGTCTCCCCTGTCCTCCATTTTGGCTTCTCGGGTGAGTAGAGGTGAGCTCGGGCTGTTAATAGTTCATCCAATTTTGCTGTTCTTCTCTGACCTATCCCAAGACTGAGGGAAGAGAGGAGTCAGGGGTAGAATGGCGTGATTTTAAACAGCAGTTTCTTGGCTCAAGTTTGGGCTTTAAGCCTGAAGATTCCATGTCAGCAGATCGGAGGGAGGCCTAAGTACTTTTCTATAAGTCTCTTCGAATGATTGAGGGGAAACTAGGACTGAGAACCAAACTTGGAAAGGGATTGTGAGCATTGGGAGCTAATGTACCACACCTGACAGTGAGTTTGCAACTAACTCGATTCTCTATTGCTAGTATCACCTAATGGTCTCCACCTGTGGTGGCGAACCTATGGCACACGTGCCACGCAGGCTGTTTGAATCATTGGAAGCTGTAAAAGGTTCACCATCACTGGCCTATACTTTTCCAATCAAGTGTGTGTGTTCTCGCGGATGTGCTGCTGGGTGTGGATGGACAACTCCCGGGACTGAAGAGAGGAAGGCGCGTCCTGCAACTCTTGCCCTCTGCACTTCTCTAGGAATTGCCATTTCTCCTGGGATTTGCTTTCCCCTGACTCGTGTTTTCTCTGGCTCTAGAAGCTCAATATTTCTTTTCAAAATAATACCCAGTGCTCGAGTTGTTGTAGCTCAGTGGCAGAACGTACATGAAGGGCATGCGAGAGGCCCTGGGTCTGACCCCTGGACGGTCAAGATCAAAGCAAAATACCCATAACAAACAAACAACAATAAGACACTTGGAGGCTCACAGGAGCTGGAAGAATAACCTAATCCCAGCCCTCTCTTTTTAAGCAGGAAGTGTTTCAGGGAACTCCATGTTCATGTTTAGGAAATGCTCTGTATAGTTGACAGGTTACTAAGGACCCTGAGGCTCAAGCAGTTTTTAGGAGATAGATCATGGATCCCACCTCTGGCCCCTACTGTCTGAGCAGGTGGTTTTGGGTTTTTATTTGCGACAGGGTCTCGGTATATAGTTCAGACTGGCCTTGAAGTCACCACGAAGCCCGGGCTGGGCTCAAACTTGCAATGATGTCCTGCCTCAGCCCTCTGTGAGTGCGGGTTAACAGCCAGGCGCTGTTCTCTGGGTGGGCTTCTGAGCATTCATGTGACAGGCCCGGGAGTGGGACCCTTTTGGCCATGCAGGCTGATGGGGCAGTGTACTTTACCACCAGCTCCGCGACTGCAGGGTGGTGGTGAGGCTGGGTGTGGACTGGTGTGGCTGGGTGAAGGAGCACGTGTCACTCTGTGTGGGCGGAGGGCTGGGCACCGAGAAACCTTGGCCTGTCTTGGGCTTTGTAAGGATTCCCTTGGATTCCCACAGCCATTCTTTTTTTTTTTTTTTTTTTT